AACCCACAGCTCCCCACACTGGGAGGTAAGAGCCTTAAAGGGCAAACTGGTGTTTTCACTGTGTCTGGAACAGGGTAGGTGTTCCACAGTGTCTGCTGAATTGAATTCAATCTTGACCACTTTTTTATGGTCCCGTCAGCTCCCAGGCCTAAGATCTACAATTCCTATGGTTGCCCATGTCTGAGAGGTTTTGTCACACCCTTAAGGTTGACAGAAGGTGTGGCAACCATGAACTTGGCTATAATCTAGGCCCCAAGGGAGGATTCCATATTTCCAGGTTAGGGGTACTAAACGGGAGACCAAAGAGAAATGAAGAGAAAGATGAGCAGAGGGAGGGAAGGTACAATAAGTACACTTAAAGGTCTTTTAACAGCTCTAGCTTCTCAGGGTTTCACTGGCTTCCTCTGCCCCTCTTTATAATCCTGATGGACGTCTTTGTTGACAATGTTGTAGTATCGTATCAAATTAGATTTAAGGAGACCAGAGTGACAAGAGTTTAAAAACAGAGCAAACAGGGATTCTCTCTTTTTTTTTTAATAAAAGCATTTTTATTTATTAAAAAAATTTTTTTATTGAGTTATATTCAGTTTACAATGCTATGTCAATTTCTGGTGTATAGCACAATTTTACAGTCATACATGAATAGACATATATTCATTTTCATATTCTTTTTCACTGTGAGCTACTACAAGATCTTATATATATTTCCTTGTGCTATTGGTTTCCCTAGGCATAAAAAGTCATTATTCACATCAATTATCAGAGAGGCAGTGAGTTCTAAAGAGACAAGGAGCGCAGGCTTTAGAGTTTAATGTCTTCTCTCTACCCCTGACTGCCCTACCTCGGTGACTTGACGTAAGTCACTCTCCAGGCTCACCTCATTTTCCTCATCAGAAACAGAAACACACAGAAACAGAGACCTGTGTGTGTGTGTGTGTGAATAACGTCCACCATGTAGGGTGGCCGGGAGGATTAATGAAGTCACACGTGCAATTCATGTGGAACACAGGAGGTGCTCAAAATGTTCATTTTACTTCTTTTACGACAAACTTCCCAAGTGGATGGGCCTAGGCCGTCTGAAGCCCATCCCTGGCTAATATTTCATGTTAACCCAAGGATGCAGCACTACTGCTCAGCCCCACAGCCAGAAAAGTGGAATCTTTTTGACCTAGAATTTTCAAATGCAGAAGTCAAGGCTCCAAATCAAGGCAGGGCAGGAGGTGTGGGAGACAGAATAAAAGAATTAAAGTGTTCAACAGATCCTGCTGGTAAAAACTGAGAAAATTTAGTATCAGCAAAGGGGTGTGTAGAACTGTGGTGATTATTTGGATTAACTGAAGGGAAAAAGAATACCTTTGCCTAGAATGTACAGGTAAATGCAGAAATGTTTTCTGCTTTAATAGAAGCAAAATTTCCTCAAGTACACACTTCACCTTATCCATATAAAAGAGTTTAAATAAAGCAAGAGCAGAGACATGAAATGAAAAAACTCAAAATTCAACCTTTTGCTTCAAATTGTATATTTAAGCATTAAGAAACTTACCAAAAGGTGAGTTCAGGACCCAGGAATCAGAAAAAACCCTTCCTCATGATTGTTGGCCAAATTCTTCCTCAGTACAAGAGAACTTTTCAAACTCTAGCATGATTTCTTGGGAGTGATAAGTAACCTAGTAATAATGTTAAGTCCCCAACATGAAGGATTCTGGCAATAAAAACAGACGTTTAATTCTACTTAAAAGACAGGGTAGCCCTGCCAGTGTTGTTCCCAAATGAGGTAATGTCCATGGCGCTTTTCTAGCCTTCACTGAGACTTAATGTCATTTACCACTGGCTCTTGTGAACCTGCGGGATAATCTCACCTTTTCGGAGGTGCATTACTTCCATCTATTTCAACATGGCAATTATGAGCCTCTGGGTTTTCAAATGATTACAAAACAAATCCCACATGTTCTTTCCTTTTTTGCATGTCCTATAATTTGAGTCTTTCTTCCACAGTCCCTGAAAATTCCGAGATCAGCATATTTCTCGTTTTCAAGGTATACTATAGAAACACTCTGGGGTTTGATATATTCATGTCAACATTTTTCAAGGAAGTCAAAATGTATAATTCAAGAAAATGTTCTGTGAAAGAATTTGTTTTCTGATTACAAAATGATTTCCTGCTTTTGAAAAAAATAACAACTTTCTATTTACTTAGCTGGCTCTGAAAGTCCCATGGAGATTCCCATTCCTTTCAGTTCCTACCATCTCTTTTCCAGGTGCAGGTCTTTTACTGATTTCAAAGGTACCTTTATGTGGAGAAGGAATCTATTAGCTGTAGAAGGGAAAGAGCGGAAGAGGCCTCCCCATCTTAACCCCGTATGCTTTCCTCACAAAGAACAACAGGGTGAAGCAGAACTGTTAAAACACAGATGAGATACCCGGACAGACATGACAGAAAGATTTTCACATGCCTTTGACTTCCTTTTTTCAACTAGGGTATAAGCCAATCTTGGTAAAGACAGGAATCTGTCTGACAAACATGAATACAATACCCAACACCCAACACCCATATAGTTGTTTTTTTCCCCTAATAAGCCCTTCATCTCCCCAACACTCAGGAACAAGAGCAAGAGCCACAACTACCCCAGAGGTATATGGTTTTTACCTTCCCACGATGTTTCACATATTATGTAGCTGAAGAAGAAACTTTGAGAATATCAAAGGCAGCCCAGAGACAGAGCAAAAGACCGTATTTTGTTGCTGGGCAGACTAGTGAAACACAAGCTAGACCTGTGAGTGGTGTGCATAGGAAACCAGGCTGGGAGGGCCATTTGTACAACTGGTGAAAAAGCCAAAGAAACAATTCCAAGCTCAGCCAAGAGCGGGTCTTCAATAAAGCAAACCTGAAGGCTGATCCCCCTTGACAGTCTGAGCGTTCCTTCCAACTCAGCTGCATCCTCTATAAATGGTTGAAAAGCCTGTTCTGCGTTACTTATAATTGTCAGCCCCTTCCCTTCAAAGACACAGCAGAGACTGACAGAATGCTGTGGGTCTCAGGATCCCATCTCTACAACCCAGATAGTAGTCTCTGCCCCTCTCTTCACCACAAGGAAGTAGCGAGGACCAAGGGAGATAAGTGCTTAAGAGTCTGGACTAAAGAAACCACCAATGATCCATAACATACAGAACACAGACCAGAGGACCTGGTCTGGGACCCCTGGGGCTTGCACAATCTTTTCAGAAGCTCTATCAGATTAAACTATTTTCAAAATGACACTAAGACATTACTTTCTTTTTACCTTCTCGTTCTCTCACAAGTGTACAATAGAGGTGGGTGATGATGTCACCTCTGTAATGACTAATGGAATGTGTGCTTGTGAGTACTTGTGTTTTATTTTCTGTTTTAGTTTCTGGTTAAATATTGAAAGACAAAAGCTCCTTGGGATCCTCAAAAATTTTTAAGAGGGTAGAGAGGTCCTAAAACCAGTTTAAGACCTGCCAACCTAGAACTTAAGTCCCACTCAACCCTGCATTTCCCAGATGGACTGATTTCCCACCCAGCCTGAGCCTTTCTATATGCTGTTTCCTCTGCATGGGAGGCTCTTTCTCTCCCTTCCCTTGGCCAACTTCTGCTCTCTGCTTAGATGTCACTTTCTCTGGGAAGCTTTCCCCAACTTCCCCAAGACCAGTCGGGTGGCCCTGCGATGTCTTCCCTTAGCACATGACTTTGTGATTGCCCATTTTCTGGTCTTTTTTTTCCCCTCGACTCCAACGCAAGAACCGACTTATCACTATTTTGACTATGACACAGTAGTATGTAGGAGCCATTCAACAAATATTTGTTGAATAAATAAAACCACCAGGAAGGCAGGCAACGAAACAGGTCTATGTTACATCTAGATAGCTTATAACATATATAACATATATTTGGATCTCACGGCCATCTCTTACCTAGATGGAATTAGTGACTAAAAATATTCGTTCTCATTATAGTACAGTCTCATTAAAACTATGATAATAATGACTATCTATGTATCTTATTATGTCCCAAGTATTACTCTAAGCATTTTATATGCATGAATTCATTTACACACTACTATTATCTTTGGTTCAAAAATGAAGACATAAATGTACAAACAGTGAGTGATGGATGTGAGAACGACACCCAGGCTAGTCTGGATCCAGAGTCACATGCCCTGAAGCACTCTACATACTGCCTCCCATGGCGGCAGTGTGGATCTCAAACTTACAACATACATTTGAATCTCAAGGCCATCTTTTAGATCTACTCAGAAATCAGAAACATGACCTGCTATGTAAATCCCACCCCAGCCCCACCCCACTGTGAGTGACCATAGCAGCCACACGAACAGCAGAGCTTCTCACCAGTACCACCTGTCCCCAGGTTGACAGCTAGGGTTTAACAAAAGACATTTTCAATAAGAAGTCTATTTCTCAATCCTTTGTTGTAACTGAGTCTTTTCTAGAACTGTTTAGTTAAAAGCAATAAATATTTTGTATATTTATTCAAAATAAAAGTCTTTTTCGTTGCACAGAGAAAATAGGAAAGTAGGGTTTGCTACTTCATGTACTATGTGTTATGCCGCAGGGCAGACTCTCCCTGATGTGTACAGCCCTCCCTGTGCCTCTTGGACTAACCTCTCTTTCAAGGAATGCTCACAACTTCACCCTGAAACAAGGAGTGGCCCAGAATTTTCTGCAGGCATACTTGATGGAAAAGACAGAACTATCTGATTCAGAGAGGTAAGTCCAAGGGGGAAAGCATGCTGCAGAAAACCTAGGTTTTAATGCAAAAGGTGATTTGACTGAATCAGAGTGTGACCCTGCATTCATGCTGACGATGAAAAAAGCACACTGAGGAAAGACTTGTTCTTTCAGCAACAAAAAAAGTTCCACAGATAGAGCTAAAAGCTTGTGTATCAAATCTTTACCTGCTAACAGTATCAAAGTTCATCCGGTAGTGTTTGACAGAAGTCACAAAAAGGGACTTAACTTACCTGGAGAAGTGTCCCATGAATATGGTTTTGCCGGAAACACTGGTCAGTGCAGTCAGGGAGTTTGGCCAACAGAGTTCGGATGGTATCAGGGATTTCATCTGTCATAACAAACGGGACCAGGGCACGAGCTGCCATCTCCCGGGAGCGGTAGACAGGTGAGCAACCACATCTGGAAAGAAAGAAAAACACAAGACCATTCGATGCTCATTTCCGTATCTGTCCCTTTGCACATGCTGATGTTCCATCTAGCTCTGGCTGGCACATGCAAGGGCGGGGGTGAGTGGGGGTGGGGGAGGTGTGGAGGAGAGGGGTTGCTCCTATTCCAAATGATGTTTTGTTTTTTCCTTAGTTCTACAGGTGACTTTGCTTTTCTTATCAACATCATTAACATCTATGATTCTATCATAGGGATAAACGCAGACAGGGTTTGGAAATAAGACAATAGACTCTTGCTCCTCAGCAATCAAACGAATTAGTGGGCACTCATGGTGAACAACTGCACCACGATAAATTCAGGAAAAATGATAGACACTTCTGTGTTTGAGGAGCTCATACTCTGGTTGGCAAGATGAGAAGTACATTTGAAAAGATAACCGGAAGCATGAGACAGTACTGGAAAAATGGTAAGTAAGTGATCTTGACGTTTTGGCTGCAGGAGGATGAGACTGTGCATTGTGAGTTGTAGTACTGAGAAGGATGGAGCTCAGGAAAGCAAGCGTGATTCAAGTATGCTGAAAGAAAGCAAGCAGCTGTTTCAACCAGGGACGGTTGTGTAAAGCAAAAGTAGACATGCTCGAGGTCACTGTGTCTGGCTGAAGTAGAGGCTCACAAATAACACTGGAACTGAGGCTGGGGGGTATCGTAATGGCAGAGTATATGCTCGGAACTTACTGTCGTAAGAGTAAGAGATGGACCCTCGAGTCACCATATCCTTGCTTCTTGGGCTGACTCATACCCAAAGAGCCAGTTCTTAAGTAAGTGAAAGTCATGGACAAGTGGTCTTTTGAGATTCTACAAAGGTCATTGGAAAGGCAGGTCATCTAAGGGCCTCTTGACTTTTTTTGTAAACACTCAGAACCTGAGCGTCCACAACCATTTTGTTGAAATCGTGCACTTGAGAGCTTTCACAGACAGAGTCTTCTTTGAAAGGAAAACCCAATATGGTAAGTCCTAGCTTAAATAAATTCTTGACTAGAACTCTCTAGATTTTATGATCTTTCATCCCATCAAAAACAAAAAAAAACTCAACTTTTATAAATACCTTAGATGCCAAGAATGGGGAAGATCAGAAGACAGCAGACTCTGCAGGGGAAAGAGATGGCCCCTTGGGTTTTTTGGCATCTTGTTTGTTTGTTTGTTTTTTCCCCCAAACTAATAAGCATTCCAAGAAAAATTACTGGTAAGATCTGGGCCATTAGGCCCATGTGGCCATTTAGGCTTAGCAAGTGGAGAGACAAAGCCGTATAACAGAAATGCTCCCAACACCCCAGGGGCATCACTGACATTTATCTTAATATGACAATAAAAGTACAGATATAATTCCTGTACAAATGTAATGATCCAAGCAGAATTTCATCATGGGGAGGCAGGAGGAAGTAGGGAGAGGGGAGAAAGAGGTACACAGTGGGTCAAAACATTGTGTCATTTTTTTTTCCCCCTAAGACAGTAGGTCCGTGAGATGGGCCCATCAGCACACATTCTGAGGACGGAGACATGCTCCCCTTACAACATGTCGTGAGAAGGCACTGAAGGCTGAGGCTACACTAGGCAGCTAGAGAACTCCCAATGGTTTTTGACTGGATTTTGCCAACTCGCCCATTTTCTCATTTATTTTTCCTTTAAAATGATTAAATGTTTGATCTATAATTGGCAAATGCAGTAAAAGGTTTGCTTTGGCCCATGGTGGGTTGGGGGAGTGAGTGAGAAAGCTTCATTTGACGGAGAAAAGAAAATACTGGGAAAAAGCTCTGAGATTTAATTAGCAAATGACCTCACTCAGCACAGTCATTTGTCGGGAGCTTCCTAGGCTGTCTGTCCCCCGAGCCGTCCGACGCACACACTGTGTTAAGAGTGTGTTTTATGTTACCGAAAAGGCTCTTGTGTATAGATGTTTCTTTTCTAATACAAAGAATTCTGACATGGTTACAGATGTTTAGCTTCTAATTAGCAGTAACTGTACACTAAAGAATGCCCCTCCTTTTGCTCCTGACCTTTTGCAAATGATGATTTCCCAAAGATCTCTGGCATCCACACAGGAGAAAGAATGGAAAGTAGGAAGAGTGCCAGAATTTCCTGCTCTCAGATACCCTGTCCTAGGGTACTTTCCAAAAGCACACAATCAGGTTAAAGAATAAAACAAAACCTCCCCTCTAAAGAGTAATGCAATTACAGAAAAAGAGAAGCCTATTTTTAAAGTAATATTTAATTAGGTATCATTCATTAGAAAGCAATGACTAAATGTAATTTCAAACTCCTCTCTTACTGCAGATTGTTTAAATGGAAGGACAGAGTCCAGTCAGCACACACACGCACACAAATAACAAGCAAAAAACAAAACAAAACAAAACTTCCAGGCTACTTCTGTCAGTCTTTGGGGGCAGAGAGGGGGTCTGATGAGATTTACCTTCTCCAGGTATATGTGGCCTGGAGTGTGAGGGATATAAACACAGTCTTTACAGCCCTAGGGGAATAGATACAGTCATCTAGTTTGATTCGCTGAAGGTGCCAATGTCAAGCAGAGAGGCTTTTCAGAGACACAAAATCTATAAGGACAATCAGAGCCCCTAGACTTTTGTCCTACTTCGGACCCTGAGGTTGGTGACTTGGACAAGTCGTCGTCACCTTTCTGGGTCTGTCGAGCTGACGGTGATGGCAACAAACTATACCCAGTGTTTCGAGGTGGTGGCTAAGAGAACACTCCAAGGAGTAAGGTACCTGGGAAATACAAAGTTTTCACACTGCATTATGCCTGTGTTAAGACAGGATTGGCATATTCTAGGAATAGCAGGGCTCTCCGTAGCCTCAGTGAGAGAATTAAGACTGTGGTGTGAATGCTGTACCACTTAAAAAAGATAAGACAACAAAGTGATGATATGATGGCAAGGGGATTTTTCCGCCTCCATTATAAAGTGATGAGGACAGGGGGAGGGCATAGCTCAGTGGTAGCGTACGTGCTTAGCATGCACGAGGTCCCGGGTTCAATCCCTAGTACTGCCATTAAATAAATAAATGCACAAACAAACCAACCTAATTATCTTCCCCCCAAAATAAAAAAAATTGTTTTTTAATAAAGTGTTGAGGACTCTGGACCTCTGCTGAAAGAAGTGGGCAGCGTCTATTCTCTTAGTCTCAATTCTTTGGAAAATAAAGCAAATGGGTTTGGAATCTCAAAGGTCATTTCTTCTTTTACCATAGATTAAAATCCTTTCCTCAGTATCCCTAGCTGTGTTCTAGGCCTAAACATTGCAGGACATGCAGATGCTGGTGTCTTTAAACCTCCACCCCTCTCACTCCGATAAACCCGTTCCATGTTCATTATAATCATGTATTTCTCAACTGCCTACTGTGTCCTTGTCCCCGTGTAACAGGAGATATGACACATCTGTAATGGTAAGACCTGCATCCCACAATTGTGCAGCCCTTGGCAGTTTTATAACATGTCTGCACCCATGGTCTCTTTACAGCAGTCCTGTAGCACAGGAGGGCATCATAAACCTAAATTCACAGATAAAAAGTAAACTGAAGCTCAGAAAAGCTAACTGGACCCTCAATGATGTGTAAGCAGCAGTGTCCAGGCCAGAACTGCCAGCCTTGGCTCCAAGATGGAGTCTGTGGGCTCTTCCAAGCCAAGGCTCACACCTGGATATCGAGGGAACACTAAAGTATCTTCCAGCTAATAAACACAAGCTTTAATTTACAAGTATATGGAAAAACTCTAAATTAGGGTGTTGGCTCTTTTTGTTTTTTTAACATTTGTAGGATCATGAAAACATTTCAGAATCTAATGTAAACTGTGGATTCTCTCAAAAGAGAAGCAGATTTATGAACATACACGTACAATTTCCTATACAATTTCCGGAGGTTCATGACACACATTCAGAACCCTTGGGGCAGTGTTTCCCAGACCCAGGTCAAGAATCTCCAGTTGCTCCTTTGCACACAGTGTGACTGTCAGGTATGTGCTCTGCTTTAGAAACGTGGGAATGGGGAACAGGACACTGCTCATGGGGAACTACCAGCTTAGAGGGGAGGTCAGTAGATAACGAACATGCTCACAAATCAGCAGTACCCACGGAGACAGACATGGGGGTGTGCAGCGGCACAGAAGAGAAAACAGGATGGAGAGTTGGAACTACTTTCTGGAGGAGATAAAGGACCTTTGAGTGAGGGTGGTATACACCTGTGGACTTCAGGAACTCTGGTGGACCCTGGAAAATTTAGAATATAGTATTCAGAGCAGGCAAATACCACACTTGAGATCATCTAGTTTCACAGAGTGACGGCTAAGCTTTTTTCCAAGTGTTTCCCTCTGCTATTTACCCTCAGAATCTGTTTCAGTTTTCCTGAAAGATTTCACAGGTAAGTGGCTGGACATCATCCATACCTGCAGGTTAGGCAAGGAGACATGCACAAACATGCACTGGGTTGGGTACCAGAGAATCAGAGCAAAGTCGGTGCCCAGGCCACAGGGAATCTAGTCTAGTGGAAAAATACAGGCCAATCAGCCAATGCTTTTGGGGAATATAAGAAATAAGTGTAGGCTGTTGCAGAACAGAGGTGGGTCACCAGACAGGAGGGTGGGTGGTCTAGCAGTTCATGGTCCAACTGTGACTAAGTGGGATCAGGCAGAAGGAACATTTGCATTTGGCAAGAAAGAGGTGTCCTCTCCAGGTCTGTGTCTTTCCCTCCATGAACTCAAACTGCCCCCAGCGCATACAATCAAAAGGGAACTGAGGTTTATTAAGTGACTACTGTGCACAAGACTGGCTATGTACTTCAGACACACTGTTCTATTTACTTCACTAAATCTTCATTATAAAGTCACCATCATCATCCCTATTTTAAGATGAGGAAAGTGATGCTTCCCAACATATCTTAGGTCATAAAACTGGCAAGCGCCAGTCCCTGCATTCTATCAGGGTTTGTCCAGCTGCAAAATTCAGTCTAAGGTTGCCTCAAAATCTTCAGGGCCTTGAAAGAGCCTCAAAATCTTCAGGGCCTTGGAAGAGCCCAATGTTTCCAAAGTAACTCGTTTGCCCTAATCACATTGAGGTATGAATGATTTATGGATACAACTAGTTCCTAATTGGTAGAATGTGAAGCAGGGCAATAAAGATGACGCTGATAGTAACATTTACTAAGCATCGATGAGGGCCAGACTTAGTGTTAAAAGCTTTGCATGTATTACATCATTTAATCCTCACAAGGCAGAATGGCTGAGAGAACATTATTAGGTAGTGTTGGGGAGGTACTTTCAAACTAAGAGGACTCTGTAAAGCCTGGTAGCTTTGAGTGAGCCCCCTCACTACATGAGAACCAGAGTGGGAGTCTTGAGAAAAGTTGCAGAATGGCTTCAGAAGCCAGCCAATATCCTCTTCCACTCTCCCTCACTGACCTAATTAACGTTTCCCCAGTTCCTCAGCATTCCCAGGCCCAGATCCTGTCCTGATCCTCACTTTCCAGAAGTCAAGCCTCCAAACTTCTGCTGATGATGAAAATAATCATCCACTTTCCCTAGATGCCTCTACTTAACCAAGGGGTTAGCAACTTGGAAGCTGGGCTGAGTTTGAAGAAGCTATGTCTGACCTACACCTGAGTCCCTCCCTAAATTTCTCAAGCTTGCCAATATGGTCTATTTCTCATAGAGCATGGCCATCTGCTCTTGTGGAATGGCCATCTACTGACAATCTTATAAGCTGAGACAACCCTATCTTGCAGGATATCTCTATAGGGGAGGGAGGAATAGGCTGAGATTATACTATATACATTAAAAAAAACTTTCTATATATGGTCTGTCAAGCCGAT